CTTCCTTCTAGGTTGACCTGCTCATGATCGAAGATGTCTGCTGAAAACCTCTCATCATTCTCGCTGCTAAACACTAATGTTGTTCCTCAGGGAATTCCTTAAATCCCTCGCAATCTTAAATAGCCCCAGATTTCTTCCAACCCACCTGCAAACACCATTTTCGATCAGATTTATCTCTGCAAATGCAATAGATAAACACTCATTTACAATCTCCTATCTCATGAATTCATGTGGGTTCTCTCTCCAATCCGCTTTTTTGCTTTCCAAAAGAGTTCAATTTGAAACCCAAAAAGCCCCAGAATCGCTCATCGACTTCTTGAGCAATCATGGGTTCTTGCAAACCCAAATCCGAAACTTCATCCAAAACTGTTCGAACTTTCTTTTGTGCAATCCTGAGAAATTTCCCCTTCCTCTTTAGATCTGTGTTTGACTTCATCTTATCTTCAGATCTGGGTTTGATTTCATCTTTTTCCTCATTCCTTTCCTTTCTCATCCTTCTTCTTTTTTCTTCGTATTCTTTCTCTCTTTCTTTTCCCTTCTTCTTCCTCTCTAGATCTGGGTTTCAAACCCAGATCTGGGTTCTCACATCTGTTACGAATATCGTGAACCACCGGTAATCATGGCTACCTTATGGCTAAACCGACGCGCAGAATAAGTCAATCACCATCATAGCACAGTTTCCCTTACTTAAGCCTGACTAGAAGCACAAAACTCACTGGACTCACATTTGGGAGTTTGAGCCGGAAGAAAAGGGGAAACCAAACAAGCAAGCAAAAATTCCAAAAACCTAGAATTTGAAAAAACAAGTAGTTTTGGTGGGAAATGGAGAAGTTTCTGGACACATCTTGTCACTTGTGAGGATTCTGGCAGTGAATGAGTGAGACAGACCACGGTTAAATAAGGAGTTGGTGTGCTGTGTGGTACCATCAGGGCCAGCAAGTTTGGTTTGAGAACCCAGATCTAGGTTTGAGATAAACCCAGATTTAGAAAGGAAGAAAAAGGGAGAAGAGAGATTCTGTTCGTTCTTGGTCTCCCTGAAGAAGAGAAACTCATGCAGGTGCCCTTCTTCTTTTATAGCTAGAAGAATTGCAAGAACCAGTTCCTCCAAGAAGAAGAGATTCGTGGGATCAACAATGAGTTTTAGAACAGAGACTGGGTTGGTTTGAGAACTCAGATCTGGGTTTGAGAAAAACCCAGATTTGGAGAGGAAGAAGAAGGGAGAACAAAGAGAGAAAGAATAAGAAGAAGAAAGAAGAAGGATGGTTGATCGATAGAGAAATGAGAAGGCAACTGTTGCATGATTGAGAGAGGAAAGGAGGAAGAAGATGAATATTTTTTTTTTTGTTGAAAAATTGTAAAATAATGATAAAAATGCCACATCATAAATAAAAAATTATTTTAGTTTACACGTCATTTACAAAAAATATATAAGGATTGATATTGTGGCAATTTAACATGTCACCTGTCATTTAACTGACGGAAGGACTGTTTTGGTATAAAAATGAAAGTTGAAGAATAATTTTAGTACTTTTTAAAGTTTAAGGACAATTTTAGTACCAAAATAGAAAGTTGAGGGACCAAATGGTACTTAAACCAAGTTAAAAAGAAAATCACATCAAAACTTATCATTGTAAATATATCTATTGTTTTGAGGATAGTGTAGAATATTAATATTTTCAAAAAATTGACCATGGAATTAAAAGTTTATTCATGTAGATGATACATATCAATTTTACATAATGATGCATACATTCATGTAGATGATATATATTTAATAATATTAACTTACTTGTAATTGAGAGAGTAATTAGCCCTATTAGATCAACATGAAAAGTTACATATATAATTTATATAAATAGAATTTTTAATCCAACAGTTGATTTTTGAAAATGTAAGTCAAAAGATGACTTTTTAGACATGCCCTGCAAAAAAATTTTGAGAGGACTTGTAAAACAATTTTTCCTAAGTTAAGACCCCATTTCAATCCCTCTACTTTAACAAAAAAATCTTTTTTTTTTAGTTCCTCTACTTAAAAAAATCACTCTTTAGTCTCTAAACTTTATTATCTGGTCCCTT